ACATGGCTGTCGCGTAATAGAGAGAAGCCAAAGATTAAAGTTACAGATAAGTCAGCTAAGTCGGCTAAGATGCTAACAGGTCCTGTTGTTTGTTAAATGAATATGATGTATGTTCTTCAGCTATAACTTGCACGAAGGCTTCTATGGAGAGAGAGAACGATTGTCTCGAGCATCGTGCTTATTAGAGAGGCCATGAATGTTATGATCATCACCAGCGGAAAGTAGTAGTAGTAGTAGTAGCAGCAGTAAAGAGACAGAGTAGAAGCGGAAGCTCTTACGATACATTATCAGATAGGATGCTTACAGGGTGCCTTGCACTCGCGATACAGTAGGTAACAAGTACCTAAACCAAGAATCATAAGTGTGCCCATCACTATACCTACGGCTGCCACCCAGACGCGTGTATCGAAATTCTCTACGCCGGCTAAAAGGTGTCGGGCGAGCTCTGAAAATTAGTTATGTCACACAATAAAGTTACGTTAGTTTTAGCTTAGATATTGTATTAGAAATATTTAATAGAAAGATATATCTTGTAATTTCTATAAAAGATGTTATATACATATGAAGAATGTATCAAAAATATTGTCGTTATGAATTTATAAAATTTTGGATTTGATATCACCTTTAACTCACATGCTTCAATATTCAAAAATAACTTTCAACAAGTAACTTTTAAATATAAGTTTAATAAATAATTACTTAAATTTAATTTAAATAACGACAACAGATTCAGCTACAGATTTATACACAGGCTCTCGAATCTTTTATTTCAATAATTTCTATATACAAAATTTTTTATCGCAAAATAATTATATAATAATTGCAATAAAATACCCAATTCTTCTACACTGTAATGAGTGTGACCCTCGACCTCCACGACTTCTCCTTTTCCTAGCTGATTGGTTGCCCACACTCGGAACGAGTATGTAGTGTTTGGCACCAAATGATACACATCTATCTGTCTCTTTAAAATAACAAAACAAAACATTGTTAGTCTTAATTTAACTAATCTTTTTTTTTATAAGGAATGGAATAACTTAATAACGTTATAAAAAAATATTTGTTTTTTTATAGTCTAATAATTGAAATCGAAGCAGATACAATGTTATAAAACAATGTTACGCTATTGCGATGATTGCAGTATTATATAACATCATCAAGTTATCTCGTCACGTTTTTTTTTTTCAACATCCTTATTTTCTATTACAATTTCCAGATCAAGATATTTACAGAATTTGGAGGAATGTGTGTCGGAATAATGGGCTTCCATTCTTCTGGATCTTCACCCGCGGCTGGTTTCAAACGATATTCGGCAGTGAAGTCTATAATAGGATATCCGCCGGTACCAGCCACTTCCCAGAGAATGTTGGCCAATATCGTAGATGGCTTGACCCATACATTGTGCAGGGCTGGGGGAGGTGCTAAAGACATAAAAGAAATATACAATAAATAAAATCTAAGACTGTATTTTAATAGACAGAGTAATGCTTATGCTAAAACTTGATTGAATAAGATTCCTAAAATTACCAGATCTAAAACATGAATTAAAATTTTTCAATTAATCTAAAATTCATTAACTAATTGGTTTTTTCGAAACATTTAACTATATTTAAAAATGTTACTATCTGTGATCACAAATTGTCTCATATAACATCAAGGTGGCCAAGCTATAACATACTTTTGACTTCCACATTGATCTTAGCTTTCACAGTATCGTCCAAAGTGCATGAATAATTGCCGGCGTCATCCACGCTGACATTTAACAGTTCCAGCACACCATTTGGTTCAATTTTCAGCCGTTCTACCTGTCCATCCTCCCGTCCCTCTCTTATCCACATCACATTGGATTCCTCAGAATGTAAAAGATCACTCTCCTCGGTACAGGCCAGTTTCAGATCTTTACCCACGTCCACAGCAATGTACCGCATTGGTACCACAGCCAATGCTTCCTGCCATCCTGCAAGTTCACAAATTATTCATCAACATTTGTCTTGTATATGACTATTCATGATAAATCATTAATAATAACTGTTTCATTAGACTACTATTTATTAGATGACCTAGGCAAGCAAATTGATAAACAAATTCATTACACCTAATAGAAAAGACTGCTCTGTCAAAAATAAACAAGTGTAGCCCAATAAGTAGTAACCACAGCTGAATACATAAAATTGTATAAGAATTATTTAATTTACAGATTTCGAAATTTAATCGCATCCTATTTCCTTTTTTCTTCATTCTCCTCACATAAAATATAACTGTATATTTATTTCAAGATGTAATTAACATGAACGGATCTTGAATTGTTGCGATGCAATAATTCAACCAGGAAGCATTCTAAAAAAGGTCTATAAAAAAAAATTAGCAAAAAGAAAGAAAACACAATGACGACAAAGAATTGCGTCGTGATCTCGGCAGGTGGTTTCGCAAACACACCACATACACACTCTATCATTACTCACGCTTGCGAATGACGTAGACGACGATAGCAACGGAAGTAGTGCAAAAGCGACAGAAAGCAGCGAGATAGTCTGTTTACATAACTACGACCCTGAATCGTAACGATCATCCGCGCACGTATTGTAGCCGGTCGCGGATAGCATGATCATTGAATATGGATCACGGCATTGTTCCTCGAACGGAAGCGTATCTCTTTCTCTCTTCCTTCCTTCCTTCCTCACGCACACACATACATACTCGTTCTCTTTCTCTCTTTTATTAATTATCATTCAACGAAGGTTCTTACCTGCCAGAAAGAGTATCAGCAACGGTAGCAATTTACGTTCGTCCATTCTGCCATAATAATACACCTAAATGGCTGGCGAGACCTTATTTTGTCACGGGACTCTCCTCGATCGCATCTCTCTCTCGTCTCATATCGAATGGTCGCTCTCGTGGTTTTTTTTTACTCCGGATTTTTTTACTCCGGATTTTTTTACTTCGGGTGTACGCTAAGAGGATAAAGGAGAAAATAAAGGAGAGGAAAAGGAGGAGGAGAAGGAGGAAGCGCGTCACTCGGAGTCGATCGTTGCCGCTGTCAAACTCATCTCGCCGCGTACGTCGTTTACTTTACACACCAACCGTATGTCACCAGCGATCGCTACGCGAACACCGCCCGTCCGGCGCGCCTCTCTATTTTATTGAGTCGCGATCCCAACGCCCTCTCTAACTCACTTTCGCGCGTCCTGTCTTATCGATCACCGATGTATCTTCCATCTAAAAGTCGTGATCAGACTATGGCCGGTATTCATAGTCAGATCTTATATTCAAGATTGTCCTAAGTACGATCTTAAGAAGTCACGAACCAATCAGAAGGCTGCATTAGCGTCTTAAGACATTATTTAAGACAGTCTTTAAATAAGACTCGACTATGAATACCGTCCTATGTATTGAAAATTGAGATTAAGATTAAGATTAAGATTGATATTCGATCAATGAGAACAGAGCAGGTTGAGATTGAAATTGCAGATTGAAATATAGGGCTCCTTCTATTTTTTCAATCTTCAATCTCAACCAATAAGCTTCCAGTATTTCACGTGACTAATCCACGTGACTAATTTTACCAAGTGTTATTGTTATGTATAAATACGTTAAAAGAGTTATAAAAAAAGTACATTGACAATTCAATTAATTAATGCAAAAATGTAAAAAATGCCTCCGAAAATAGAAATATGGAAATAATAATAAAAAGAAAGAATATGCTTTGATACACGAAGTGGAAAAGCGTTCAATATTATGGGTATTGTTTGACTTAATCTTAACTGTTGTTGGATACAATTTATAAGTGATTGAGCAATCTTCAGTCTTAATCTCAATCTCAATCTCTAATGCAGCTCTGATCATAGCTTAAAGCCCGTGTTACACTACGGATTGCAGACGCGGATTGGATATAGCTCGCGAATTACGGATTGTCGATTGGCCAATCACATAGAAGTAACCAAAGATTCGGATTGTGAATCGTGAAATAGGTAAGCCTCTATTTTTACGATTCGTAATGCACAATTCGTGTCAAGTTTAGATCATTTATTGTGTATTTTTCAAATAAATTATTTTCTTAATTTTGTTTTATTCACATTCTGTAAATTGCAACAAATCACAACAAACTTCTTTTAAATCGATCCTTTTCAATTAGACAATCACTTTTTAAATCGATTAGGATCTTCCAATGACAGTTCTAAAAAAAGATTATGGTGCATCCTTTTATCTTTTCTTCTTACAATCCATTTATGAACTCATATTTTTCGCTTAGGTCTACTTAATTTACATCCATACATAATTAAAAGCAACGAAGATGCACATAACTTTTTTTTTATATATTGTATTATTTATAATCATAATTATAATTTATGTCATAGTCACCGTGTCAGTGCAATAGCATGCACATTGAAAACCAAATTCGTAACTATTCATAGTGAACGGAAAATCCGAATTCAATGATCCGCAATTTCAATTCGATCCGCGTCCGCAATGCGTAGTGTGATATGGACTTAAAGCTGCGTTCGGTAAATGCAAATCTGAGGCGTCAAAGTGCTCTTTTTCTTCAGTGCACGTGACGTGTGCTATAATATAAAAGCTTAAACACAATAGGCACAGACAATAGGGAAAAACGAGTCGTTCAATCAGAACTCTAGGATATAATATCGAACTTATACTCCAGAACTCTGATTGGACAGCTCGTTATTCTCTATTGCCTGTGCCTATTGTAAGGCACTTACAATAAGCCTTTAGAGCATTCCGACGCCTCAGATTTGCATTACCGAACGCAGTTTATAGAGTTCTACATTAGTTGCAAGCTGATCACAAGTTTGTTGCGACAGTAATATGAAGCGTTGACTTCAAAATGTAAGCTTCAGATTGGCTGTCGTAACAAACTTGCGATCGACTTGCAACTAATGTAGAACCGGCTTAAAAGAAAACTCTTTATAATCGAGATCGAAGCGCCCTCGTTTCAAGTTCAAGTCAATTAATGAATTTCAAAACAACAGCGATAAAAATCGGCATGGTACGAATGTATCAAGTGACCGAAGTTTTACGAAAATCTCGAGATTGTATTTCAGAAAACTAACGAACGGGAGTAACGAACAATCTCGCGGATATTGTTTCTCTCTCAAAATCGACTGTTAAACATAATTCATGTGATCGCAAGATCTACATAGGAACTGGTTGAAGATGAAAAGAAAAAGGAGTTTAAATCGACAAGACTCTAGATATTTTTATAATAGTCCATTGAATGTTTTTAGGAAAAGGTAATTTCTGACCGAATTAAATTTTTATATCAAAAGATTATTAAAGACTTATGATTTTTATCAATTGGTATCGTGAATTTCATTAGTTTGATAGATGAGAAGATGGTACACAAGAATAGGAGGTTATCTGGTGGAAAGTTGAAAAAACAAAATGCAGCGAACTCCTCTAAAAGAATACCTTCACGAAATAGTATAATTGTCATCAATGACAGCGACAGTGAAAGAGATGATAGAAATGAAGACGCCTCACTCAGCGTCATTGAATGTAGTTCAATATCATCTTTTCAACAAAATAAAAAACTGAAAACTTCTACCAAGAAAAACACAAATAAATCATCTGTAATATCATTAGATAATGATTCATCTATACTTTGTTTGACAGATATGCAGGAATGTTTAAATGAAGAAAGTATAGGTGAGTTGACTCTATTTTCTAATAAAATTCAAAACAATTTGAGTGTTTTCTCCAGTAAAAAACACAAAAGATGCATTTCATTTATAATTATTGACACAAACATCATTCTATCTTTGTTGGAAGAAACAAAGACAAAATGACACTTTACCATCAATAAGAGAAAAGCATCTTCTGTGTAACACATTGGCCTAGTTTACATTATATATGTTTAGATGGCTCCTTACATGATAGATCAGGCTTGTTCAATTTGGGTTCTGGAGTCAAAACGCAAAACCATCGACACAAAAAAATTCAACGTAAGATTTCAGAGACTGTAAAGTATTAATATGTATTGATACTTATCAATACTTTATATAGTTATATAAAGTATTATATAGTTCTTATATAGTTCTAATCCTACTAACATTGATTTTTTTTTATATCAATAGCGTTTTAGCTCCAGAGCTCAAATTGGACAGGCCTGTAATAATTATTCTTATTTAACCTACAAATTAAACAAAGATATATAGATAGAGGCTTAAATGTATGGTAAACTAAGTCACTGAAATATGAATCATTTTCTCTTTGTACATTTTAACATTGACAAACAACAAGGATATAATGAAATCACTATTACAATACATCATATACTTGTCTACTTGACATAAATGATTCATATTAAAATACTGTTTTAAAGTAATATCTATTAAATACTATTTTAAAGTAATATCTGTATATTATGACATTTAGCACCATCACAAACAGAGGATGATGTGGTTGAATTATGGTCATGTCTAAATTCATTAAATATGAGTAAAGACAAAAAAAAGCATAAAAGAGAGAAAAATGCAGATAAAAATAAAGATGTGACACATTATTTTGATGAGACAAATGAGATGTTTGTGATAGATACAACACCAAATTTGAAGTATCTCAAATTTTTAAGAGATACAAATACAAATACATCCGAATATGTATGGAAAAGAAAAAGAAAACAAGATGTATCTTCCAATAAAACTATAGCCAAATCGTTCGTTAAACCCATTAAGCGAAGCACATTGAAATGTTCAGATAACAGTCAAAGAAAAAGGCACTGTGGAAACTGGAATCCAAGTCCCACAAAATTAAATATACGTTATAGTAATAAGTTGCGAAAAGAAGCAGAGGAAACTCAGAAAAATACAGATGAGAATATCGGAACAAATTCAAAATATAAATTAAGAGAGATAATTGTTGACGGTTGCAATGTGGCGATGAAGTATGATACTTTTTTTCTAATCATATATATTACTGATATGTTATTGATGAATTTTGATAAAATGCAAAGATTAGCTAATTATATACAGGATGTTCTCGGATTAAACTGCCAAACTTAAAATATGGATGATGTCCATCGGCTGAAAGTGTCTTCCATATGACTGTGGATGAAATTCCTAACATAGAACTAGATCTTCGGATACTTATTGATAGATTTTGATTGAAATGTAATATGATGGCTGTTCTTTCATTTTGCAGTGATGCAAAAACTCCATCAGTAGGAGAATTCCCGGGGAATGGGAATATATTAAATGATCCAGTTTCCTTCAGTCGTTGAAATGTTAAAGAGAATACTGATTTATCCGGCAATCTTCTGTTCAGAAATCACGCGACGTATTCATGGCGAGCAGTTAGCATTAGCATTTCCGTCACAAAATCCATATAAATATACCATGTCGGCATATTCACTATTGTATATTAGAATACGTACGAGGCATGATTATAGATTTATTCTACAAAAAGCACTCAACGAACTAATAGCTAGAAACTATGAGCTTTGCGAACAAAAGCCTGTCAATGACCTTCGAACTTCAAAACAAAAACAGAGATATTTCAATTATTCATTCCTATAGTTGTGTATATAATTTCATAAGTAAATATGTCTTGAACGAAGCGTTTGCGAGCATACATCCAGAGGAACATTTTTGTTTGTTTTGATTCTGAATTCATATTTTAAGTTTGGTGGTTTAACCTGGGAACACCCTGTATACTTATAAAATTATAAAGATTGCAATTTTAATGTATATCATTTTGAATTTCTATTTGAGGATATGATAATCTTTATATTTTAGCCATACACAAGGTAAAGAATTCTCAGAAAAAGGTATCCAAATAGTGGTAAATTATTTTAAAGAGAGAGGTCATATTGTAAAAGTTTTCTTACCACAACACGTTCGTAGAAAGGAACATACATTTCTTGAGCAATTGTACAAAGAAGGAACAGTCATTTTTACACCTAGCCGCAAAATTGGTGGTAGACAAATTACATCTTACGACGATCGGTATCACATTTTTATTATATAAATAGAAAAAATAGAAAATATATTTTATTACATTCTTTAATACATAGTAGGAATTATTTCTTATATAGTAAAATGTTCATATTTTTCATATATAATATTAGATGCAGAATATAATATTATATTCTTATTGTATATGTATAAACGTGTCTTTACAGAAGTATAAGTAATCATTAGATTATAAATAGATTATAAATAATCATAAGAAGTATAAGTAAATATTAATTTCTCCGTATTAAATAAAATATTAGCAAAATGTCAGCGAATGCAGCAAATTTGATCAGAAAGAAAAGAAAAATTAGCAAACTGACATCAATTACGAACGCATTCTGATCCTGCTCTGTAAACAAAATTGTAGAATCAATTATATATCTTGAAATGAAATGAAAATAACTAAATTGAGTGAATTTACTAAAATATTTACAATTTCATTAGTTAATATCTAGTAAATTGTTCAGTTTTGTTTTCTCATTCATCATCTCATTTTAAGATATACATTTTAAGATATCCTTAAGATATCATTAAGATATAATCTCATTTTAAGATATCGTTTACATAATCAGACAGTAGATTGATGGTAAAATAAATATCAGCAGACTCATATTTCTCAAGGGGGA